ACAGGGTGTATCAACAAGAGCCCATTTTCAAAAGTCTGTATTTTTTTATTTCAAGTACTGGACATTTCTGGTGAATTTTAAAATACGTAGCAGGATATTTCCTGCAAAGGTTCACAAGTGCTCAGTGTATGTCCCTCTGGACACATGAGATATGTCCGTACAATAATCAAACTCTGCCTATAAGTTGTGAGCAGGTCTGAAGTCACTACAGCCACTGGTGTTGTTATGCTACCAATACCGGCAACCACGTGAACCTCACGAATCCTCTCTTTCTAGCTACGTGTTTGAGTTATTGGTGATGAATAGCTGTGAATTAAAGCACTCTGGAATATGATACAATACAATTTTATTTATATAGCGCATTTAAAAAACCACAGGTATGCCAAAGTGCTTCACAGAACGAGTTAGAGCAAAAATAAATACAAATACAAAACACAAAATACAAATAAAATATACTAACAGGCGGGTGACAAAACTAACCAATAATACAGCAGACATAGTAGGCACAACCCGAAAGGGTTAATAAAGCGAAAAAGATAACTTACAGTACACCAGAAGCAAACAAATAAGTTTTTAATCAAGATTTAAAAGATTGAATTGAATCAGACGCCCAAATAGCTCGAGGGAGATTATTCCAGAGGTAGGGTGCATGATTATTGTGTTTGAGGCACCCTGAGTTTGTACAGAGTGGGCAGAGAAACATACAGTGACATGTAGACACCTCACACAGACACATGCATCACTGTAATTACTGAAAAAAGCCACAAGCAACTGACACAGCGTCGAGACCTTCTCAGCCTTAGAAACCACATCGTGAAAATTTAGCAAAATAAGACAGCAAAACAAACAAAGGCATCCAATTATTTGGTATTTTCTTGACATCAGAGCTCAACAGTGAGACGTTTGACATGATTTCTGACATCAAAATGCGCTTTTGTTTTGACTGTATTATTCTAACAGGATTTAACTGTGCAGTTTGTCAGCCTATTATCTCGTTCTGTACAGCCCGTAATGACATGCTGTTGCTTACCAAATGTATACCGTTGCATAAGCAACGTCTGCATTAGCAATTCATAACACAAGTCAGCATGAAGTTGTCAACAGCTCAAAACGTCTCTGTGGGAAGCCGTGTGTGTGTGTGTGTGTGTGTGTGTGTGTGTCTCCTGTGCCTGTTGACTCATCCATCTTATCCGTGAAGCTCTGTTGGTGATTAAGGTGTTTAGGAGTTTGCTTTTTGTGTTCACACCGTCAGAACAAACACAGTGAGAAGCATCGTGTATTTATTTTACCATTTGTTCTTCTAATTAGGGCTGGGCGATATGGCCTAAAATTCATATCGCGATATAATTTGAAGCATGTGCGGTAACGATATATATC